GATATTGGAGCTGTATAAACACGTGAACTGAAAACTTCTCTTCGTTTATTTTGTAACTGAAACTAATATAATATCCATTTTGACTGTTCCATAGAACTTTTTATACCTATATGCTTTCGTTGAAGGCCCCTTGTATTTCACAGCAGACTGTTAGCACTATTGCAGTATACTTAATATGGGCTAGCTTACATCTTACATCTTCAAACCTTGCTGCATTCCTCTTATGAGCTTTAACTTGATGTAAAACTGTATCTCAAGATTATAGTGAGTTCGAAATAGTATAATTATACAGTGTGATTGTTAATTTGTTACGTAACTGTGTAATGTAAATTTTACCATCATTATACTCTATATAAAGTAATAAGACTTAGTATAACAATAGTAGCCATAATTAAACTATTTTTAAGCTTTTATTACTTTCTATGCCTTAAGGAGGTCCATGAGGAGTCAGGCAAAATTCTTAAATTGCAGCATAGGTTGATTTATGGTATCAAAGGCCCAAGTTAGTATAACACGTTTCTGCAAACCCGAACTCAAACTGACAACCGAATCAAAAATTGCAGCCGTTGAAATATTTCTTGAATCTGCAGTTTTTTTGTGAATTGCTTCCGACTTCTAGGCAGACGTCTCACAGAGGAGGGGCACATAATAGCTTTACAAATTCAATAAATCTTTGAACAGCTGTAATCATAATAATAATAATTCTGCTTAATATAATTCTTACTCGGTTGTGGGTTTGCGGCAATCTATTCCACTAAGATATTGAATTTTATATCAAACTCGACCTGTGCTGTTGTTAAGGAATTTTGTCTGACACCTCGTGAACCACCCTCCCTTAAGGGATAAAAAAAGTTATAAAAGCTTAAAAGAGGACCCATTTATGGCTATTATTGATATACCAAGTCTCATTACTTCATCTATAATACAAACAATATTTGAAAGTACAAAATATACGTAAACTAACACTTGTAATAATATTTTTACTTTTAGGCTATACTTTTTACTTACAAGACGGTAAATACTATAACAGAATGGTAAGTGGTGATTGATTTCGATTGGACACTCCAATCATCATCAGACCCACTTACGATCATCGATCCCCACTTACCATCCTTTATACAGAATTTATATAAAGTCCCGCACTGGCTTAATATGTTCTGAACGAAAAAAGATCAATCAGTTAGATTAAATACATCAACAAAAAACCTAAAAATCTACTTTTTAAGGAACCCTAAGTTTTCTGCCATATCATGGGGACGTCCCGCAAGGAGTCAAAAGGAAATTTTTAAAAGAAAGGTTGATATGTACATCGAGCTAAAGACGTTTATTAGCAGAATATTATACCACAAATTTTAACTGAAACGGACAACCGAGTAAGAAATGACAGCAGTTCAAAGATTCATTGAATTTGCAATGCTACCTCCTCAGGGGGGCAGCCGCTAGGAATCGGAAGTTAATCGTAAACGTAATCATAAAACGACATGAACCTCAAATTAAAAGTCTTTATTAGTAGATTACAATTCCGCAAATTCTAGCTCAAAAGAACAACTGTGTAAAAATTGGCAGCCGTTTAAAGATTCAAAATGTCAGATTCAAGAAATCTTTGAACAGCTACCATATTTGGCTTTGTTGTCCGTATGAGTTAAATTTGCAGCATTGTATACTGCTTTTAAAGCCCTTTAGTTCGATGTACATATCAACCTATGCTCCAATTTAAGGTTTCCTTCTTACTCCTTGCGGGACGTCCCCGTAATATGGCAGAAAACTGACAGTTCCTTCAACAATTTTATTTTTAGGTGTGGTGTTGATGTACCAAATCTAATTGATTTATCTCTGGTCGTTTATAAAATATTAAGCCTATGTGGGACCTTATATACGCCATGGTATTTACCGCATTGTGAGTAAAAAGTATAAGTGTAAACATAGTTTTACATGTCTTATTTGAAGCATTTTGATGTATTTTCAAGTAATTTCATAACACCTACGATGCTGATGAAGGAGTTATTTTAAAATATATTTCGGGATTTTAAATCACATCGCAATACTTATTACATGGCAAATTAATATGACGTTTGTGATAATTTAAATAGTTGAAAATTATGTTCCTTTTAAATTCATGCTTTTGTTACTAAACACAATAAGAATATGATTTACATTATATTATTTATGGTGAAATTAGTTTTATAAGGCCTTAATTCCATAAGAAAATTAAGGTAGTTAGGTTCCTTTTGTAACCATTTAAATCTTAAGTCTTTTGGACGGACCTGTAAAGTGAACATGATCACCATGGAAGGGCACCGCCTGTCAAGAACTTTTGAAAGTGTTAAACTTTCAGATTGAAGGCCGTCAGTTGGATCTCGAAGTAAGATTATTTGAATCCGTCCCAAAGGCTAAATAGCTTTGCAACAAAGTTTAGTCACGGTGATTAACGAAATTGCTCTAAACGATTGCAGTGTAGTCGGAAGACGAGAAGAAAACCTTCTAGTTAACCCTTTATAACAGGAAGCTAGTTCAATCCTACCCCCTTCTATTGTTTTGTTGTGTAAGCTAATTAAAACAATATGTTTTATGTTAAAGGTAATGAACCAATTGGTGAGATTAATACTGAGGTCAATATATTGATTAAATTAATTAATAGGCTATTTTAAGTTTGGTTCTGTTTCTTTTATTTACTGTTTATATGATGCGTTTAAAGGATACATGTACATATATCTTAGACACTATTATGACAATCATGTTCAGCATTTAATTTACCTTCATTTGCGTATTCAACCACAAGAACAAATCATAGGTTTTCAGTGAGACGTCATTCTGGGCTATGTTTAATCGTCTGGCAAATTTGTGGGTTAATTGTTTTATTCTATCACACAGCCTGTAGTTATATTCGGAGTGTAATACATCTTCATACGAAGCTTTTCTTGGCAAATAAAACAAACATCAAAGAGACTCGAAGATAAGGATCTCTGAATGCTGAGAGAAAAGACACGTGCTAATGGCAAGACGAAAACTAATTGCTAAGGTCTTCTCTTGGCCCTTAACCTTCAGAGCAGTTTTTATCACCGTGCTTTCAAAAAATGTGTTTTCAAACTAATCTACAACAACTGTAATGTTGTGTATGAGGAGTTAACATTAAAATCGTAGGCCTATATATGGATTCGTTCTTTGACATAAAAATCCTTTTGGTAAATATTTTAATGAGGACTTCCTAGTAGAAAATATATCGTATTAAAATGCACATTTTCTTTCTAAAACTATAAAACAAATGAGCGTGTAATTTTTCCAATTTGAATTATAGCTTGCAATTGAAATCATAGTTCATGAATTTTCAAACAAAACATCAAATTATCAATTTACGTATACTAATAGGCTTACTTTATCCTTTGTAAACACATTGCGTAGGCTACATTTTATTTCCCTGGAATATTCAAAGTCCATTATTATTATTATTATTATTATTATTATTATTATTATTATTATTAATTAATAATAATAATGGATACTTGAGTGTGATACTCGCTCTCACTCAAGTATCAACTACTAGCGATAAACTAATTGTATATGTATACGAGAAGCTCACACTTAATCAGGTGGAGAAATGTTCAATTTTAACTGAGCTGATTTACGACAGAAACCCAGTTTTAATGTTAATTAACAGCATCCATTTTAAGTAGCATCGTTCTTTTGCATTTTAACCAATTCTATAGTTAGTTCTGACGTTGCAAAGAATGAATAATATATATAAGCTCCTGTATATTTTTGGGCGTCCTATATTAATCAAAATATGAAAAGTCAATTTTCGTCATACTGCAGCAAATCAGCTATTTTAAACATGTGTTGTGGGTCTGGAGTGTTTTTTTTTACTTCCTAGAGAGTAAAAAGCCTTTTCTGTCAATAGGTAGTAAACGCCAGCTCTATAAAGCTTGCAAACTCGGTTGTAAACTTCGATTGTAAGTAATAGCTGTATAGACATTATGTATCGATTGATTCAAACTGTTGTAGCTAATTGTTGGCAGTGGTTCGTCATTGATAGATTTACCGTAGTCGTAATGGATGAAATTATTGAACCACCTACTAAACAGCTGCTTATTTGCATTAGCTAAATTGAAAAAAATTTGGAAGTTATTTTGATTGGTTGTCATTAAAACTATTTTTGTTCGTAACTTAGTCTGCTTAAATAGTTGTGCAATATAAGAATGAAACGAGGTGTGCTGAAAATTCCAAAACAATTCCATTAGTGTTCTTGACAAACTATTATCATGTTATCTTATTTAAAAAAAATAATATAATCTTCTAACTAAAATGTATTTCAGAAGATATTGCTTTTGCATAAAATAACATAATATAATTTGTCGCTTAAAAACGCTGTAGAATATGGTATACTTAAACTTTGCCTTCCACAAAAGTATTTCGTAAAAACCTAAGTTCAATAATTATATTTATTCATATTTGATATTCATATATTATATATTCATACATATTTGATCTTTGGTAGTATCTAGTCTTCAAAAAAGAACATCTAAGAAGTTATGCTTGATGTAAGAGAGATGATTTATGACTTTCAACGATATTATGGGACATGTTTGAATAACTTGAAGCACAGGGCTGAAATCTCTGTTTGTGATTTGACCTTTCCAATAATAGGCTAGAGGAAGAAGCGGATGATTGCAATCTGTTCCGAATGTGTGGGCAAAGTTCCAACCTTGGTACCAGCTTCAGACATAACAGCTTATCATATTCGTTCTTTATACTTATTATGTCTTTCGGGGTGGTTGCTGAAAATATTCATTACGTATATAATTTCTAACGATGAACAAAGACAATGTTTCAGGACGTAAGATTAGGCTATTTATTAATTGAAACTGGTAAAAGCAAATGATTTCTTACATTTTCTTTCTATGCACATTGGCAATTATTTTATGTCATATCCTATTTATTTATTTAGGTGTATAAATACTTTTTACGATAATAAGTACAAAAATACACTTGAGTCGACAGTATAAATTTATTTATTTCTAAAATATACATATTATCACAAACATAATTATATATTTTATGTACAACAAGCTGACCTAACGCCTCGAGGCTGGTAATTTTGGCATAAGATATAAGTGTAAACAGTATATTACAAAGCTTAATAAACGATGGTAATAATGATAACTGTCCATTTTAAATCCAAATACATACAGTAATTAAGTTATATTATTTATAAAAGTATAAATTTACACAGCATCCGAGAAATGTCCGATATCATTTGTGAAAGAGCCAGTCTAGTCCGGAGACTTTCCGGACTGTGGTTTGCAAGAACACTTGAACTAATTCGGTAAGTGGGGCCAGACTGTTGGTAATGATGTCTCAGTGGTAGTGATGTAGTTGTAGCGAACATAGAAGAGACGACCACAAGACGACCGCAGCGACTCGTATTGGCGATGACCCGCTGTCTGTGAACAGAACTGACGTCACTGCGTGAACCCACAAACTATTCTTACATTCATCTCAGCTGCATGTACACAAGTTTTTAGATACAATCAAACTGTAGTGTATAGATGGGTGCCAATTTACGTAAACAAACATATATTAGAATAATAGCTATTGAAAAAAGTAAGATAGAAATTTTTTATGGATGTTTCAGTAATAAAAATACAAATATCTAACGTACTATCCGTAAACAAATTTTACATTGACTTATTTGGCTCAATGATTATAAGCAAAATAAGATATTTGCTAAACAAACGGAGTTTAATTAGGGTCCATAAATTGACTTCAATTTAAAATCATAAGGAACCTTTACATGGTTTTAAAATCATTTCATTCTCATTAAAGTTTCAAAGGACTGTGGATTACTTGAAGAGTATAATAATGTGGAGAAGCTGTGCAGATAAAGTATACATTAGAACTTAGGTGTATACTTAGATTGTAGGCTACGGAGGATTAAATCATAATGTATACTATTTAATTTGTCATCGTACCTTGCCTATTAAACCGTTATTGATGGATCCAATTTCATCCCGTTTTTATAAATCACATTTTCGCAAACACTGACGGATATCTTTTTTTTTTGTAAGACAGCACAATTGACTTTTTGAAATTGTATTGAGGGTATCTATCAAACATAAATAGTTATTGTAAATGTTTGGTTGAAGCGATTAGTTTAGTTTTATAATAAGGTTTGTTTATATGTCGTCTTTGCAAAGCAAATGCAACTTAGATTCAAATACAAAGCTAATAAATTGAACTTTTTTCTTAAATAGACATTTTAAATAAGATATTATCCGTTACGTGCCTGTCAGAGATTATAAACATTTTCCTTATCATATATTTGACAGTATGAGCGTACCATGGAATAAACAGGTCGATATGGGTTTGTTTAAGTAGCAAAATTACGAGGTTTCTTAAGATTCTTGAGAGTGTATTTACAGCGTGCACAAAGAAAACAACAATTGGAACTAAAAGCTAATGGGAGCAGGGAATGGCTGTAAGAGCTTAACTAAGGGGAAGTGGAAATCCCTACCTTCCTCTCCAATCCAAGGGAGAGCCCGTCCTGAAATAATAACACAAGTAAAGATATGTCCTACCTCAGTGAAAAACTTTACTTCTGGTGTTTTATATAAAAACATATCATTTCACCGTCTAACCACTGTTATATAATTTTCATGTGTAGAATCTAAAGATATTTTAGACTATGAGAATGCGTATGTATATTATTATTTTCGCGTATCTTGGTGATATTAATGTTTGATAAACAATTAACCATGCTGGTCCACATTCCAACATGATTTCATGACTTAAGTGAATATTCTACCTAACTTAAATCAATCTTGAAACAACTATAAATTGCAATCAATGAAGTGATTGGTTTTATAAAGAAATGGCTAGACATTTAATGTGCTTTCCAAGCGGTTCTTACCTGTCAAATATATAAACCCATAGAAATATAAGGTGCTACAAATAGAGGCATGATATAACTTTCAGTAGTCTTGATTAATTAAATCCGTATAACTGTGTTGAATCGTAAACAAATCATTTTCTTATTCAAAGTTCTCTAAAACTCAATACATTTAGTTCAAACCTTTATCATAGAAACAGCATATGTAATTCCTATGTTCGTATCATGTGTTGGTCACCATAATTATTTTGATATTTAATATTACTGTCTTTTCTGCTCTATGTACAGTATCACGTTAATAGATTGTGTATGGCTCACTACAAGGTCTACTAAGCAAATGTTTCCTATGGAGCTCACCCGGGTAGTAATGCAGAGTCTTCTGTCTGCGGTAGGAGGTGGAGGGTATCCAGAGCTCGCAGTTCACTACGAGTGATCCTCTCAACTCGGAGTCAGAGAGGAGCACAGAGGCGACCACGTCGTACGACTCCTCTCTAGGCAGAGTCCGCACCGACACTCCCTCCATCTCTTCACTACAACACGTACGTCGTACATGATGATTGTGCACATGATAAGAGAGTTGGAAAGCACTGGATGTAATTTCAATATTTAAGTCCAGGTAAACTAAAACTAGGTTAAGCAATTGCATTACATACCCTTTAGAACCATGTAGTTCAATTGCTTAGAATTAGCACTATATATGATATTCGGTACTCACAGAGACTTGAGGTCAGTGCCCTTGTGTATAGTCATCCTTGGCTCCGGGTAGAGTCCGAGGGCTCGACATGTGATGTTGACATTGTGAAGGTCATGCTTGCTGTGACCAAGGTCAACCTTTCTCTCGGGAGCTACACATAAATATTCCTTTTACCATGGATTAATATTAACAAAACTTCTTCCCTTCATTTTCTAAATGGGTACTAGAAATAACTGTGTATGACATGAAGAACGATTTTTGTTGTAAGATTGAGAAAGATTTCAGTGTCAGGGGTAATGACTGTTATTGACTGTTGAGTTCGTAATCCAAACTGACAAATCCCAACTAACTGCCTTAACTAGCTGTGAAGTCCAAAATAGCTGCCTTAAGAATACCTTGGTTACACTATGTTCTATTAAGACTTAAAGTTCACATAAAAACTACTTTTTCTTATTATAATTTACTTATCCTTAATCTGTTTTTTATCCTTTTGGGTTACAAATAATTTTTGTTACAATATTTAAATTCTGGAAGGGATTCAAAGGAATATGACAGTTTTGGCCAATTTCTGACAATTATCCACACATGATAACGAGTTACGGAAGTTATCAACGTTTTTACACGTTGTAAAGGAAATTATTCTCAGGAACATTTTCAATTAATAAAACATGGGGATATTGACCTTTTAGTAATTTACCTAGTTTTGGCTTGGAACATGGATTATAATCTTTTATCTTGATTTCCATGAAGTCACGATGACGTATTTTTGTTATGAAAAATTGTACTATTTCCAATTAGTACAATTGGTCCAATTAGTAGTACCTACACATCAGGACGTGTAAACATTTTTCCATACTTCAATTCAAAAAGTTACCTTGTTGTTTAGTAAACAATTTAACGGCCACAAATACGCAATCTTACTTACAACTAATAGTAATGGATTTCACAAAGTTGAACAGTACAGCTCAGACGAACTTAAGTTAAATGATTGTTCAACAACCCTTTAAGTATTTCAATAAAAGTATTCATTAAAAGTTTTAAACAGTTGAAAATCCCCAAAGTTTAGATTGAAGCCTGAGGATTTGAGAAGACGATTTAGTTTATTCTTAAAAATGGGATAACAGATCAGAAGCTTCCGACAAGGAAATTCTTTCACATTTTATAGTCATTTATTTCAGAAACAAGAATTCATTGTAAAAATATTTAGAAATATCTTTTTCATGCATGGTTCAAAAACTTGTAATACCTATGTAAAAGTCAATACAACTAAATAGCGCAGATTATATTAAACTTATTCTTACCATAGACGATCATCTTCTTTATCATGAAGTCCTCGTCCGTGAAGGTAGATACCGAACACTTGTACTCCCCAGACAGCTCAGTGGTGGGGTTGTTGATGTAGAGAGCTCTGTGCATGGTGTACGGGTGTCTACTCGCCCTAAAGCCAACGTTAAGTTACAACGTCTTGAATTTTTGGGTTTTTTGGATCGTTTCATGACGAATAGATAAAAATATGACTTAACCAGAAAACCCTTGATTTGAATTTTAAATTATATGCTCAAAGACATGTATTTTCATTATATATAAATTACAATTAATTAAGTATAGAAACTTACTTGTAATCGAGTTTGAGGCGGCCCTTGAGCACGCCCAGGTCCTGAGGCCTCTGTCCTGGGATCCACTGGTACACGGGAGCTGGCGAGTTGTTCCAGAACCACTTGACGACCAGACCAGACTCTGGGCCCAGCTCGGACTGTCGCAGAGTGTACTCGCAGTCCAGGATGGCTCCGTCCGACCCGTTACGGACCTCTTCTGGCACTCGGAGTGCCGTGATCTGGACTGCGGCCACATCTGTAACATATCATGTTTTGGTAACATTTTAATCTTACAAAAGTATACCATGATTACTGGCTTATCAGGCTCTTATTGAAGGGGTGGCATTTGCTCGACAAGTTTCTTGATACGAAAGCCGGCTTTGTCGTCAAATTACTTGCTCAGCAATCCAGTTGACAAGTTTTTAAATTACAGTAAACTGGCTTGATGACTAAATAACATGCGTTCAACTAGTAGGCACCCTTTATTTTATGGTTATGACTATTAAAAACAGTTTTTTTTTTCGGAATAAGTCTTAAATATATACATTAAAATCTTATATACACTTTAAGGTCTTCCTTCTTTTATATTCACCTTAAAATACGTTTTTCAAAAGTATTAATAAAGCAACATATTTATTTTTGCATATAAAGACCAACCCCAAAGTCCAAAACTAACCACAACCTTTTGTGTAAGAGGCTTTTAGCTACAAAACCCCTAGTGCATAAGAAGGAATCAGAATTAGGCAAAATAAAAACATAAAAGTACTTTTTGGTCGTGTGTGGATTCTGTAACCCCCTACCTAACAGTTGATCATGGAACTACTACAGATATTATGTATATCAAACGACATTGGCCTACGTAGTATTGATCGCAAGAGGAACTTTATTTCCGATTGCTATTATTACTACCACGTAACTAGATATCTGTTTCCTGATGTAATAAACAGCTCGGTAAATTTTATCCTTCTGAAAGGTACATCCACATTTATATTCTACTTTGTTACCAGCTTTCATAATTTTTTTGTAAACAAAAACACAGATATTTATAAAAATACATAAACTATTTTGTATACACCATGAAATGTATTTCTCAGATTTAAGCTTATTATAAATAAAGCTCAAGGTGCATGGTGGGAGTTACATAGCTCCACTACAGTTTTGGGAATATTGGGTGGTTAAACAACTCCAACCATTTCTTTTGCTAGATAATGTGACACGGCTTTATTATTACTGGAAAAACATTAATACTGTGACGTGACTCATAACGATCTCAAACAAATTCTTTACGTTTCTCTATAGGTATCCATATATAAAATCAATATTCCTATTAAGCAATTGGTAAACCTCGTAGGAATACCTCCTCGTCCTTGTACGATTGACTAAATCCTGAACAATTGTGTCTCTTTACTTTTTAGCTTAATGTTTCTAAAGAAAACACAAGAAACAAAATACTACTTCTACTTTGCCTCGCGAGAGGAGGGGGTATGATTTATTTAGCCTGTTTCCCACCCCAACCACTTTTAAACACTGTATCAGATAACCGCAGAAACTTTACACTTTTAGGGTTCAGTTCAAACAACATCTGCTTCTCTTTGGCTATTACCAGGAGGAATTGTTTATTTTGTTCTTAGCCCTCATAATTTAGATTTTAATATAAAATATAAATTGGTGAGTTTGAGGGACCATAGTAAATTGGTTTCCTGTCTGTTTTTAAAGGGGCTATCATTAACTTTAGGGATTTCATCTTTGATCAATTAATGGTAATTCGGCATTTTGGTGACTTATTTATTCACATGAAAAAGGTAAGAAAATACAATTATTTGATGTAAACCTTTTAATTAAAATGCAAAAATGTTTCACACTATAAAAGCCAATCTATGACATAATAAACCCATCAATCATTTTAGCCTCTGGATTGCTTATATATTAATTGATATTATAAGGCCTTACCTTAGCAATCCTGTTTTTTGATCCGAAATTAATTTCGGGCCCGAAGGTCCATCATCAGTCGGGATCTAGTAGACCAAATTTTCTAAAATAGAATCCACCCGTTGGGTTTCGTAGAAAGTTTCGCAACATTTAAGACAATACAAGTCATAGTCAATGCGAAAAGAGTAAAACAATTAGGGTTAAAAACCATGGTTTTAGCGAATTTAAGTAGCTATTACGGTAGGTCTCATGGTAAGACTTAGGCCCGGGACCGATTTACTTTTTCATTTTAATGTCCCCAGAGGCCAAAAACACCATTCGTTCAAATTTTTATATATGTATATATATATATATATATATATATATATATATATATATATATATAGATTTATATATATATATATGTGTGTCCGTGAACACGATAACTTGAGTAATTTTTATCCGTTTTTGATGAAATTTGGTTTGTAGGTGTAAGGCGGGATAAACTTGAATGAGTTCGCGATCCAGCATGATCGGACCATGGGAACAGGGTTTTATGGGGGGTTTTATGGGGTAAAAATTGGTTTTTCTCACTTCTTACCCTCAAAACACAAAATTTCCCAATTTTTCTCCAAACCTTCTTAAAGAGCTTAAAAAAACAAACAATTCAGTATATCAAAGTGTTTTTGGACGATTATTGGTTACGGAGAAAACTAAAAAAATGATAAATTTAAAATTCCCATGTTATTCTTATGGAGAATATTGTAAAATGTTGTAGTTTGCTTGTTTATGGATATATTTTGATCAAACTTGGCAAATTTATTTATTTTATAGTAAGCTATCAATATTTTACTAAAAACACACTACTTTATTAGTTTCCTTGTAGCAGCAAACCTAGGTACTCGTTAAACCTAATGTTATTTAAATACAGTAGATCAATTGAAAATCTATTCGGCCAAATGGAAATTCGCTTAGACGGCAGGTTTGCTGCGGCGGGGGTATTTATAATGTCAGATAACCTCACTTTGGTTAGAGAACCTGTTGCTGGCAACTGTCAAAATCAACAGGATTGTACTTGTTGTAGGTTATGTTGACTACGGATTGAAAAGATTCTGGTCTTAATTGGATCGAAGTGGACAGGTGTATGATTGATTATTTATTTTCAGCAATGTGTCAAAAATTATGTTTGCTGAAAAATTGCGTTGGTCATTGAGGATTTCAGATGGGAGGATTTCTTAAATGTTGTGAAACTTTCTACGAAACCCAACGGGTGGATTCTATTTTAGAAAATTTGGTCTACTAGATCCCGACTGATGATGGACCTTCGGGCCCGAAATTAATTTCGGATCAAAAAACAGGATTGCTAAGGTAAGGCCTTATAATATCAATTAATAATAAACACACTGTACAATTTGCATGGTTATATCTATTACATTGAACTGTAACATTAATATTATTACTATGAACTATATTACTTATGTGTCATCCATATTATAATTCTGAACTACCTTCACATTATTTGGTGAGGATTTAATAATAAATTTAATATTTTTGAACACTTTATTTAACTCAGTTACACTTATTAGTGTTGCAAATTATAAGACAAACTAGTAAAGCTTAAGTGAGGGTAAGAGACAATAAACGAACATAAGTTAGAGAATGTGTAATTTCACTAGACCCGGGGCATCATTAAAAGCCGAAAACGTAGAGAAAGTTTGAAACTGTAATCACTGAGCAGTGAGCAGCCCGCGGTTGTCCGGAACACTTTTGTCCTTTAATCGCCCACTGACAAATGTTCCTCTAGATAACTGTTTGTACCTGTATCAAACCAGTATACGAATCAATTGTTGTTAAATGGTTTGAAAATGTAAAAAAAGTATAGTAAAACTGACCATTTGTTCAATATTGTTGTGTATTACATAATTAGAGTTGTGTTTTAGGTTATTAGAATCCTCAGTAATCATGTCCGTGATTTCACTCTTTTTTAATGGAAACAAGAGTTCATGTTTGATGTTAAGGCCAACCTCAAAAGTTCTTAAATAGTAAATGTTTCTCAAATAATGTAATAGCCTAGGCATTAACCAAACAAAAATAGTTAATGTCTTTACAATATATATTATTACACTCGACTTTAACCAAAGGCCTTTGCAGAGAAAATATTATTTATCGTAAAAATTAAGTAAAACACTCTTCTCAGGTCATGGTTAAAGGTTATCTGTAAATCTGTCTTTTATTATATCTTTTTTTTTGTCCTTATGCATGCATGACACTTGATGTCGTGGTTATCAGTGTTGTGCTTGTAATAGGTATAAGTTAGTAATTATAATACTACGTATTACTTAAGTTCTTGTTCAAATATGTACTCTGGGAACTTTCCTGTTAAAGGGAACATTCATTATTATCGACATTTTTTTCGATATATCGATACTTTGTTTTTCATTTACGATCCATAGGCTATCACCTCTGTTTCATTATCTTTAAACGAATTTAAATTACAAATTGACAACTGATTTTATTTAGGCAAAAATAATATAGGTGCCTATTTGGAATAAGAAATTAAACTGTTATAAACTAACGAAACATGTTGTACCATTTCAAAATTCCATAACAGAAAATGCATATGGGGAATAATCAAACGGAATTTTGATATATTACAGCGATTTTGGTTGGCTAGGTTATTTAATTTAACAGTATCATTTAAATAAAATATTTTTTTAATTGTTTTTTGATACTGAGAATATTTATTTATCGTGGTTATCAGCGGATATTATTTAATTTGTTGGTATTGGATCGAAATATAATACATCGATATATCGAAAAACAATCATCAATAATAATGAATGTTCCCTATTCAGGAAAGTACCGTATTCAGTACCAACAAGATTATTGTCCATTTGTTTTTTGTACAATCATCAGATAAAAGATTAAAATATCCAGTTACACAAAAAAAAAACATTTTAAACTATATCATTCAACTGAGCATCGCATAAAAAAAAAAAACATTTCATTGCATATGAAATAAGTATACTACGATGTCTGTGTAAACGGTGTGCTGTGAAAGATTCTTCGGTATAACAGTTCACAAAATGTTCGGGAAAACATTTAAATAAACCTGGCGGTTGTCAGAACATCATTTGATCACCAAAAGCTGAGCCAAATGGGTTTAAGAGTACATCCAGTCAGATGGGCCGAAATAAGAAATTATGGCATGTCCAATGGTTACCACGGTTAAAAACATGGTTTCTTATTGTTGAAGATTAAAATAGAATATAAAAACATCTATCACATTAAATTGGTTATGGAAATGTAGGCTGGTTAGTGGTTATTGTTAAAACAATTTTTAAATGT